GGGTGGTGATGACTAGCTGCCTTCCCTCTAGTCTTACACTGCTAAATTAGGGACGGCTAGCGCAGATAGCCCTCGTGTAGCTTTGCGCGAAATTCAAAAAAACAAACAAAACAAACTTTTTACCAACGAATAGTGGGATTCACAGTCACATTATAACAACCTTACGGCTGAAAAGGTAAGCATGTTCGATGTCAGGTTTCGATCCACATCCCGCAAAGTGCGAGTCGAGTGCCATAATTATCAGACCTTGCTGGGCCCTTAATAATATTAAGTGTATCGTTTATATAACGACAACGGTTACAAATGTAGATATTAAATACTGTTGTGACATTAATAAATATATAGACCTTTCAAATTCATTGTCTAGTACTTGAACAAAAATAGCAAAATACTGCTAAGCAATAATAAATCGAATGATTTAGCAGATAAAGTGTTAGTCAATATATTGTATTAATAATTTGAAATTCTACATCATTAGAACGATTAACAATATTAATAAGTCAATAAAAAACGTAATTGATAGAATCTTATGGCATTTCCAATCACTAGTATGAAAGAGCTGTTTCCATCTATAGAGTCTTGTAAAACTTGATGGGACGTGACGAAAAAAATGTTTTTATCTATAGAGTCTGGTAAAACTTAAAGGAATATGATAAAAGAGCTATTTCATCTAAAGAGTCTGGTGAAGCTTGATGGGATGTGACGAAAGAGCTGTTTTATTTATAGAGTCTGGTAAAACTTGATGGGATGTGACGAAAGAGCTGTTTGTATCTATAAAGTCTGGTAAAACTTGATGGGATGTGACGAAAGAGCTGTTTTATTTATAGAGTCTGGTAAAACTTGATGGGATGTGACGAAAAAGCTGTTTGTATCTATAAAGTCTGGTAAAACTTGTTATGTATTACAATTTCTCATAGTTGAGTTAAATTGTAATTTACATTTAGTAGTTAATTAAATGCGGATATGTATCTAATTTATTATATTTGCCAACAAGATTGATACACACAGTTTTCTTTGTTTTATACAAATATGTTTTAATATGCAAACAATAATACAATTTACAATAATAGTTATTACAAGTAGTTATTACAAGCAATAATTTATATTTTACAAACTTACAAACAATATAAAAATCTCCTTTCTATTCTGGAACTTCCTTGCGTAGTCTGTTTCCAAACATTTCTACCTGACACGAAATCCATATGGCTTAGAAAAACTTATTCAGTCTCACAGCAGGTTTTATACGAATGTGAAGGGCCAGAATCGAAAAATATGGCTGTTTCTTTCTCTTGTAGATGATGGATTGCCATGTTAAAGTATTTGAGCAATCGTGCAATTTATTTGGGAATATTTTAACATTTGCAACGGCCTTTTATGATTTTCTAGCTTCCTTCCATCCGATTATTCTCCAAATATCCAACTGTCTTCTTGGAGGTCTAGTGATGGTTTAGGAATATTCGAGTAAATTCTGATATCTGTGATTCACTTTAAAGTGACAAATGAAATAAAATTCTGTAAGACCACCATATACATAACACTGAATGATATAGCATTTATATTTTAGATTGGAATCTGACGGGCAGATTCCTGAGTTACATAACAATTGAATTCTCAGCAAACTGTAATACAAAACATTTAAGACTTATCATATACAATATGCTGAGCAACATTCAAATATGTATGTTGCAACTGAAAGTTGTTACGTTTTACCTTTTCATAACTTGAAAATAATATGTATTTATCTTGGTATATTCACGTTTATATTTTTTTTGTACTTTATTAACATCCTTCGGAACAAAATGTATTGATCACAAACTTGCATTAATCCTCAACATAGGCCGTGATTTGATACCACAACAATCATTCTTCAAAGCTTATACTCACTTGGCTATGCTTCTGTACCGTGTTTTTACATTCCTAAATATGCGTATACTTTATTTTAAAAAATGTCGTAACGTTTGGCTAGTAAATTTAACTTCACTCATATGACAGATATATTTAGAAAAGACTTGAGAAGGAAGAACGCCTATGTTTGATGGAATTTTTGAATCTGGATCTGCAGTGTTCAATAGGTTTCGATGCTTGCCAAACTTATTGCGATCAGGTCACCACATTCGCCACATGATATAAAATGTATGCACTGTTAATGAAACAAATGCACAATCTTTAGAAAATAGGTTTGAAGTTTTAAACAGTCAGTTAATACACAGTAAAATACGGTAACATAAAAAAATGTATATATTGAAAATTAATTCGAAAATAGAAGAATAAAACGTAACAGATGAAGAGCATCAATTCGCCACATGTCTGTGGCCGATTTGCAACATCTAGCGAGTGTCGAACGTATTGTAGAACACTGATTTAAATGGAAAAATCCAAAGTGGCTTTTTGTTTAATTTATAAAAATAAGTATTGGTTGTTTTCTTAAATAATCTTTTGATGAGGAAACTGTGTTTCTATGAAAAAAGAAAGACACAATGACGGATATAATGACACAACATGCTTGAACTCTAGATCACCAATAAGCCTCCTGAGAACTGGTTACTCTAGGATACCTGAGCACGTGTGCCAAGTTTGATCCAATTAGCTTATGAGTTGGAATATGAATACAGTTTGAATTTGATGACGAGGTTCCAAACTTAAGACAATAAAATGTGAAGACGGCTTGAATGGGTAATGAAGGAAACTTTATTGCACTTTTAACATATTAACATATGTAAAGTGATTTACAATAAAGTTTAAATCCACACTTACGGAACAATACCAAATTTAAATGGAAGCTTGTTTGTTTGTAAGACACAATGGCGGATATTATGACACAGCGCATAGTTTCTCAGAAAGAGCTGTTGTTTGTAAGGAAATTACGCACTGATGCATTCAAAGAAAGTATGTGTATAGAAGAGTTTTTGCACTCGATATATGATAACTTTGTTAAGGAGGTTTAGCAAAATATTGGAGAATAAACCAGGAAAAGTTTAGAAAAAAATGTTGCCTGTTCATTATTCATGGAGACCAAACAAAATGTTAAAATATGTTACTACAAATCAGCTTATTTTGTAGTGTATTGGGTCCTTCCTTTTTATGTTGCATAATGAGGTTTAGCCGGTTGATATTTATCAAGAATACGTTTCGTTTTAAAGATACATTTTAAGGTTATAAGACCTAAACCTTTTTAAAAACAGAAAGTTCTTCAGGGTTTAAAGGAACGAGTTTTGTTGGAAACTGTAAAAATAATAAGAAACAAAGTTTATAAAATTGACTTTGTCAAATCTTTATTTTCTTTTTTATGTTTCTGATATATTTTACATATTAAACGTATGTGGTGTACACTATCACACATCATTGATGATGTACATTCGGAAACCTTCGAAAATAGAAAGTATATTACAATTATATTGTTAATCAGCCTCCCGTTTCCGCTTGAAAACTAGTACTTGTTTGAAGTTAAGCACAAAGCTAAACGATAAACTATCTGTGCTCTGCGACATTTTGGCAGCAACATTACCAGAAATTTTCTTTTGATATTCATGTTTTATTACAAGTTAAAACATTTTAAATCTAGTCGAGGTCATGTGCTAAATTCATCCTGCAGCATTGCTTTCTGTAGCAGGATCCGATTACGGAAGCCATCTCTGCTGCTTTATGGGATAAATGTTTTGTATCTTAATTTACCTTGCGTATGGAAACTGCTTTGCAATTGTCACTTGGAACAGAGATGCTTCTGAATGTTGGTGATCCATTTTCTGGCTACAGATAGACAATTAATCGTGATCACAGTCTTGGTACTTTTCATTTGTTTTGGTCTAGTTGTTGTTGAGCACAAAACTACACAATGGGTTATCTGTGCTCTGACCACCACAAATATCGGAAACCGATTATTAGCGTTGTAAGAATGCAGGCTTATCACTAAGCCACTGAGGGTCTAGTACTTTTCCAGATGGTTATTTTTTGTTTTCAGAATGAGCAGAATCGTTTTTGTCTTGAGAGAAAGTTAAGAATTTCTGTCGAAGTCTCATCTTTGTTTTACCTTCTTCATTGAGCTGATCGTGCATTTTCTGCTTTTGTTTTATTTATCATTTTTCTTCATACAGTCATTCCTTTATTTAACTCATTTTTTGTTTCACTCTTCCTCCTACGCAATATTCCTAACATCGTGTGTGATCAGTAGATTGTCATCGTTTTTTTAAATTAAGGTAAATAAAGTGCTTCATTATTGTTTTACTACTATATGGTACTAATAAGTGTTTTAATTTTACTTCCCAATAATTTGTAAGTTGAGCACTCTGTTGAAGATACAAATATTGTATTGGATCGCTTTATATTTCAGCCACATATGCTAATATGTGAAGTGCATTAAAATACGTCAGAATAGTGATAAAAGTTCATAATTAAACAAAGTTACAACACCATAAATGTATGCTGATTGTATAGACTTTATAGAAATACAAACAAACAAACTCACTTTATTTATATTATTTACGAATTATGCAATACATTGAAATATTTATATGGCTATCATGTAAACAAAATTATACTTTATACTAATGCTTTCAAAATAAAGTAATATTATTTCTGGGACAGAAAATTGTCAAATGTTTATTATGCCAGCCATCATTTTATATATATCCTTAAGCATAAGCTAAAAGACTACAATTTAAATTCACTATAAACTCAAAACTAGAAAAAAAAATTAATAACACAAAACATCCTTTTATAAATTCATTATCTCTATTAAATTATTGCATTAAAAATATCATAATTAATATTGTAAGAAATAAAACTTTTGTAAATTGCTTTAATTCATACGTGCAGTGCCTTGATATCAATATCTATGTAATGTAAACATATATAACGACATCAAAGCATAGGTAACTGTAAAGTTGCAGTTCGTGAGAGCGTCCATCTGTTAGTGTTAACAAAATCGCAATATCTTCTTTACACTACTTTTCAATAGAGTTCCCAGATTATCAGTCATGAACTAGGATGCTCTGTAGGTTCTTCTTCCTAAAAGTCTTGTACCACATTGTACTTAAGACGGAAAGAGACAAAACTTTACAAAATCTGTGATCTATGGAATACAAGTGTACACAAACCATTTACGTATAACCATCAATAATTTTGAACTGATAGACTAAAGTCACCTCTTACGCTACTATTGTATAACCAAATAGTGAGATTTCTTCTCCACTCTTATAGCGTCCTCATGACCACAAAATGCGTACAGCGATTTCGCGCAGCTGGATGTGAACCAAACAACTTCGAATTCACAGTCTATGCATGTTAAACTCTAGGCCACGCCCAGCCAAGTATGAATTACAACTATTCGAGAAAAAATTTAAGTTATCAGTGCAGAAAAAAAATAATGTTAAATACAATTGATATTTGATATCTGCTATAGAATATTTTATTTGATACCTGCTATAACATACAAGTAAAAAGCTTGTAATTAAAAGTGTTCTTTTTATTTTGTATTGTTTCTACTGAAAAGGGGAGGTTAAAGCAGATAAAGTTTGTAAAAAGAATTGTCTGTGTACTACACACTTATCTGTAATAGCCCATCACCAGAGAAGAAGAGCACATGATAATTTAAATTATAGTAAAATAATGGGATATGAACCACACACACACGAGAAAAAATAAATATTAGGTCGTCAAGAAATTGTCTTATTTTGGAACACTTTTATAGTCACCCCTCAAAAAAAGGAACATCACGTATACTAGTTAAACGAACCGCCTAAATTTTACTTTAGTGCAGCCTATATAATGTGCAATGTTTAGTGTGCTCTAATCCCTTATAATGATGGCACATGACGAGACACACATTCGGCAGGTAATACTGTTTGAATACAAGAAGGGAAACAACGCCTCTGTAGCCACAAATAATATCAAAGAAGTTTATGGAAATGTTCTGAAGGTTCGTAAGTGTTAACGATGGTTCGACACATTTCGTTCAGATGACTTTAGCCTTAAAAACTGTGATGGCAGGGGCCGACATATTGGAATTGATATTGCTGCTCTGAAGACGCTTTTTGAGTCTAACCCAAGGCAACACACTCATGAAATGGCCCTGAAATTGTATGTCACTCATGAAACAATACGTAAACATCTAAGGAATATGGGAAACTCCATAAAGAAGGTGTTTGGGTGCACATACTCTCCGATAATCATTTTTTCCAACGTGTGAACGTTGCTTCGTCTCTTCTGGCACGTAATGCGCGTGAACCATTTTTTGTAAAGAATTGTCATCGGTGATGAAAAATGGATCCTATATGCAAATATTAAACGTTAAAAACAATGGCTCAGTCCTAGACAAAAACAACTCCCGACCCCAAAACCTGGACTCCATCTGCAGAAAGTGATACTTTGCATTTGGTGAGACATCAAAGGAGTAATTAATTTCTTACTCCTCAATCCACAGCGAACTGTCAATACAAAGATCTATAGTCAGCAACTGGAGCATTTAAATCAAGCCCTTCATCAGAAACGCTTTTCACTCGTCAATCGTAAAGGTGTTCTTCTGCACGACAATGCACGTCCACATGTGGCACGTTTGACGCAACACAATATTATGGAACTGTGTTGGGAAGTTCTCCCCCACCCACCATATTCTTCAGATATGGCACCATCAGATTACCATATTTTTCGTTCGCTGCAACACCATCGTAATGGAGAAATGTGGAAGGTGTTAAAGAGGACATCGACATGTTTTTGCTTCAAAGCCAAGTGATTTGT